GGTTTTATATCCAATCAAAACTTGTTCCAATCCGATTTTATAAATATAAAACCCGTATAATTAGTACTTAATAGCGTAATACAATCTTATTTTCTTTTTTACTTTTTTGGTTTTGTGAATAAAAAAAATCTAACTTAATAGTATTGAAATCAAGAATTTGGCAATCTATATAAACAAGTAATTTTTAGGTGATAAATGCATTTGATTTGTCAAAATCGTAAAACCAAATTTATAACAATAAAATATAATAATTGCAAAGAACAGATTTATTATAATAATAATATAAAACTTGGTGTACAACTTAGTGTTCACTAATAAGTCGAACACAAGTTTTTATTAAAATAATCACAATTATTACATATTACAAAATAAGCATTTAAACCACAATTATATCAATTCGCAATTTCTAATATAGTCAGTCTTTTAAAGTCATCTGGTGGACATAAAATAGCTTTAATTTTGTCAAAAATTAAGCATTAAGTGAAAAGTGAAAAAAACGATTGAGATGGATTTTAAAGACGGCTTCCCAAAATATGCCAATATTTATGTTTAAAAAGGTACCAGATAACGTTTAAAGACAGACTGTATCTGTTTTTTTATCTGCTTAATATCGAGAATTTTTTTTGATTTAAGATATTAAGTATTGTAATAGATACTACAATAATAAAACCATCGTGTTGTTTATGTGTTTTTAACATACAAATTAAAATATGAATAATGACAAATAATCTCATATGTTTACACGTGTCTCTTATTATTGTTCTGTTAAAATATTCATTTTACGTTTTTAAATTATGTTTTTGTCAAAAGAAATAAATAATGCCAAAAAATATAGAAATTAAAAATAAAATTTTCTTTTTATTTTCCAATCCTTGGGAAAAACCATTTTCCCATCATTCCAATCCGATAGAGTATCGACTGTAAATACAAAAACATTTATTTTTATGGAATAATTTCAATTTATGTATTTTTTATTTAATAATTATTTAACTATTATATACTAAAGTAAAGAGGTTTATTATCAGAATATTGTTTACTATATATTATAGTTTTATTTCATTAAATTATTAGATTATTAAATAACGTATATATCCCAGTTTTTAAAGCATTATATTTATTGTCTATTTATATTTTTAATTATTAACATTAATAATAATTATTATTAGTTTTAGTATAATAAAAAAATACTACTAATTATAATTATTTAAATAATATATTTACTACTTGCAGGTTTATGAATTATAATATTTTACTAATGATTGCATTTAATTAATAAATAATTACGGCACTTATATTAAAAATGGTAATTTTAAAAATGATTTTGAATTTTTTGGGTTAAAAAATCTTCCCATTGTTTAAATGAAATTCACTTCCAATAAAAACATACCTTTTGGTGGCACTGATTAAACCAAAAGTTTGTTTGTCAGTTTTGTTTAATTTATTAAAAACTTTTGTTAGAAATGGTTGTTCTAATTTAATAGATCTTTTCTTATTGTCTCCAAATCTTTTAAATTGAACTTCTAATTTTGCTTTATAATGTAAATATAAATCTCTTGTGTTAATACCCATAGCAATTAATTCTTTTCTACATTCTTTGTTATCAATTTTAGTAGATGCTGATTCAATAGTTCCTGATTTAATTGTGAAACAATTCAAAATATCTTCTTCGAAATAGTTATTAATAAATTGATAAAAATTATTTAATCTGTAATCTTGTGTTGTGCTCATTTTTGAAGGAAAATAAAAAAAATAAAATAATTTTAAAATAAACTCGGTACTATATTTCCGAATTTTGGGAAAATTCAGATTCACGTCACTCGCAATTTAAATAAAGTATTATAAAATATAGATAAAATAAATTCCCACTAAATCTACATAATTTATATACTACTTTAATTAAATTTCAAAATAAAAACAAATAAAAATT